TTTCCCCAGTATCTTATGGCTGACTTTTATCATGCCTTTTCAAAAATAAATAAAGAGCATATTCTCCTTTAAGAATTTATTTTTTTAACAGCTTCTTTTTTTCTTCTTCTTCTGTGCTTTTTTTCTTTTCTATGATTTTGCCTGCTAATGTAAGTATGACAAACAGTCTAATGGGCATCTAGGAAACAGAAAAATTCATAGTGTGATCTTATTCCTGCCAGATTTTTCCTTCTGTTTCAAAACCTGAAAAACCTATGGTAGTGAGAACATCTCACACATTTCAGTTTTCTCCTTGAACAAAGTTGTAGATTAAAAAAAAAAAATCCAGTTAAAGCATGGTCTTCAGGAGTAACATCTGTCTAGTGCTTTGAAAAAGCAGAACAAGAAGTTGGCTGTGGAGAAGCCAAGTTTGAAGGATGGGATACCTGTATGTAACGTGCTTGGGAAGCAAGGACAAGTAATGGATTTTCAGTATATCTGAAAACTTACCCCATTATTTTAGGCAGTGTTTCTACAAACAGTGTCTCCAAGATGAAAGAGAAAGTGTGCATATGGCTGCATTTCTCATAGATCTGTATAAACCCATCTAGGACTGCTTGAAAGTGCAAAAAAAAAAAAAAACCCAAATGGGTTAATATTGGAATATTTTCCCAACTTTTACAGTAATTTTAGTTCTTTTGTTCTTTTTTGGGAAAGGGGAAGGAGAGGGTGATTGGCAGAGCAGTTCTCTCTGTTTTCCCATTTGTAGGAGATTGACATTCTAGCAGCTTTTCTTTTGAATGTTCAATGTCCATGCTTTCGCAAAGCATGGATGAAATTTTCCAGTAGATCTCTGTAGTCAAAGGAAGCATGAGTGTGCCAAGCAGGCTGATGTGCCCCACATGCCTGGCAGACTCTTTTCTTGTGTCACTTTGTAGCCTCAGGGGTAAAGGTAGATTGAAGCCATTAGAATATATTTTCCTGTAGACCTTAGTGTTGCCTGCAGTCAAGTGGTAAAATATTATAGATGCTGCTTGTGAATTTCTCATTTTCAGTCTGACTGCAAAATCAATTTGCACAGCATGGCCAGTGATGGTCCTAGCTCACCAGCATTGGCCTTCTGTAGTTGGATGTATTAATTTATAAAAACTGTTAAAAAGTACTTGCAAACGGTGAGAATCTGAATATTAATTTCATACAAGTGGGAACTATTGGCCTGAAAAGGATGTAGTGGTCAGTGTTTTCCAGAGCTGAAAGTTTCTGGCTAACCACGTAGTTCTGCAAGGGCATTCCGAAATATGAAATATTTTAAAATCTTAGGAGGAAAAGGGAAAGAGGAGACAAAGCCTGGTGTTAAGATAGCAGAAAAGGGTGAATGCAAATGCACATTTATGTAGTGGTTACCTGCAAGTAAATTGCTGTCTCACATTTCTAGGAAACATTGTCCTAAAATGTGTCTCTTGAGCCAATGTTGTAAGTAATCAGCTTTTTTCTCCAAGAGCCTTTAAAAACACAATTTTGGCAACAGTAACTAAGGCGGTATTTTACAGAAGAGCCCCCAGTAAATGGAAAGCAAGCTGGTAATCAGTTTTGATTAACGGATCTGCATTCTGTCATTTAAATGTTTATATCCTGATTAGCATTTAGGCTGTATTTAAATATGCAATTTTATTTTAGCAAAATATGAGGCATGGAGAATGGAGATTATCTTTCAGATGCTAAATGCTGGGGATGTAAGGTGAAGAATGTGCACTTGTAAAGTGATATTGGTGTGACTGATATTTTCACTTCCATTGTGGGATTATGGAGTTTCATAATCAGATATGACTAAAGGAAGAAATGTTTGTGTCATTTAAGTTACAAAACTAAGTTTTAAATTGAGTATGGAGACTTTTTGTTCATGAACTAAATTTCTCCTGCTCCTCATTTTGTTAAACACAAAGCAAGTTGAGCTGGTACAAAAGTTTGTAAGTTTTTTCTCTATTATTTTAAGAATTGCCAAACTATGATAGCATCTGATCATCTAAATCTGCATTCCCATTGCTTCATATACGCGTAGAGAATAGTTCTTTCTGTTGCTCATAATGTGTTTTTTTCCATGCCAAAGCACTGATTCCGATGACAGTTGTTAGCTACCAGAGATGGTGGTTTGCTTTGCCAAATCACTTCAACTGCAAAGCTGGTGCTTTGTGTCCAAAGGAGCATGCACATCTTTCTGGGTTAAAGAAGATCTCAACTTTGTGAAAAACTGCCTGATTCAACAGAAAGGTTGGCCTGCCACGTAAGCATGCCATAAAAAACGAGCATCTGACAGCTCTGTGGCTTGAAATAGTAGATCTGACACAGGCATATGGAAAATTCATGCAACAGGGATACTGTATCAAAACAATTTCTGTAGAAAGGCAAAACGGAATCCTTTCCCTCCCTTCCTCCCCTCCTTTGCTTTCTCGTGACTCTGTTTTATGTTGTTTGCTTCTTACCCTTTGCCTTTTAAATGATGCCTCTTTAAAAACTGACATCTTGCACAAGGATTGAGCTGTTTGCAAAGAAATTTTAGGTAGAGTGATTTAACTTTGATAGGCGATATTCACACAGGGATAACATCAGGAAGGTGGGACACTTCTGAAAAGCCATGGCTCCTCTTCCTCTTAATGTGACTACCTGAAAGGAAAGACAATATACTGTGCTCATGAGTTGGACAGAGAATTCCTGCATAGGATGATTTGACTCTTCCTTCTTCCAAAGCAAACTCTGTATCCTTTCTGTACCTTCTGATGACACAAACCTTTTCTCCCCTCCACCTGCTGTATTTCGGTTGCATTAGGTTTGATACCCTCTGCAAGGTTTCGTATAGTCTTCTACCTGGGCTTGTAGAGCAAAGACTTCTGTTTACACAGAAGGACTTCTGTTGTTGAGCTGGCAGAGGTTTTGAGGACTGGGAAGGAATAGAAAGTAAACATATGCAAGCGACAAATGGAACAATCGCCCTCCTCTCATGGTGAGCAAGTCTATAACTGATATTACTGGCTTTTTTTTTTCATAATTTTTCTTTTTTTTTATCCTCCCCTTCTGCTTTTCACATTTTTCACCAACTGTCATTAGGGTTTCCATAATTTTAGCTGCATTTCTTTCAACAGACCTTTGAAAATAAGAAATTGCTGTTTCAGCTACCACGAAGCAAAGAAGCGGAGGCACAGAAGAATTAAGAGACAGCTTAACCAAGGTGTGTAGGCACCTTGGAATGGTCAGTTAGGGTCATGCTGGGAAATGAAGCTGGGTCTTTCCTGGTTGGCCTGGGTAGCAGTGGTTGCTGATGACCCAGTGTTTTCCAACAGATCCTTTCCTAAAATGTTTGAGCTCTGTGGTTCTCTTTCCAAGAGCCACCCACTCATGTATTTGTGCCTACTACTATAGGGCATAGATTAATGAAATATAGATGTGTTTGTTCAGGGGCTCATGCCTTACACTGCCAGTGGGACATGACTGAACAACATCACCAGCTGCCCAGTCTGTGCTTTCCTCTTAGGAGTTTTATCTGAGGGAAGCTCTCTGTGGTGAATGAATTACTGAAATGAAGTGCCTGAAGACACAGTTAGACTTTCATTCATCCTGAGAAGTAATTAACATCTGGATATCTTGCTGCTGAGAATTAATTTCCTTCAGTAGTGGCCAAGTCCTTCTCTGTGTCTCTGCAACTGTGTTTGTGTCTTCTGTTTCGCTGGGCTGTTGCAGTGAATATGGCAGGTATGCTGCTGAACTGAAGAACTCTGTAGAGCCAGCCTGTGCAGTGGACTAGGGCACATACTCTTGATTTTGAATCACCAGCAGGTTCAGTGGAGCCTGGCCCCAGTTATGTACAGGCTGTGGAATTCTCATCTGTATGCAACCTCCCTGAAGCAGCTGACTTCATGCCTGTGGAACTGCACTAACCTAGGAACCATAAAACATGAATCATGGGAATGAGATCCTCATGAGAAGATAGAGGGAATAGACTTCTGGCTGCCCAGAGGGAGGAAAACTTATATTCCACCACTGTGTGCTCAGGAGTGCTGAGGACCTTGGTGCAATGCTGCATTGGTAAAAATTGACATGGGTTTATCCCTCATGTGTGGCCAAGTGAGAAAAATGTGTTTGGCAAATGAATTTTAAAGAGCCTGGTTTGTTCCTTCTGCTTCATATGTAAATCCCAATGTTAGAACTGCAGATCTGCTTACTTAGTGTTTAGAAGTTGTAGAGGGCTAATGATGCTGCAGCGTGGGTGCGTGAAGCCACACTGCTGCTTTTTGCGTCGTCTATTTTTTTGTCGTGTGCAAATCATCCAGGAGTCTGCCAACACATGGAGAAAAGGATGTCTCACTCCTGGTAAGTTGCTTCTTTGGTCCCTTGGTAAAACTGCTGGGTCCACACATTGCTTAGCTTCTTTTGGAGCTCTTGCTAGCTATTCTAAATATTCATTAAAATAACAATGCAGCCTTCTAAGTAAAAAGCTTATTGGAAAAAAATATGAGCTTTTTCCAGAAGCAAATCCAATCGCCCCACCCATTTTCTTCAGAAACTGGAGCTGAGGCATTGCTACAGAAATTCCCTTCCAAGTAGTGGTGGTTGCTTCATCCCCTTCCTAATAACTGCACTCCTGTGGTGCTGAAGTACAGAAATGCTTCCAAGCTCAGGGTCAAAATCTTCCATACAGTCACTAAAGCAAAGTAGTTTAGAGTTAAGTGAATAAATACATTTTCAAAGAAAAGCTTTGTCCATAACTCTCTTTATCTGGCACTAATGGTGGAGCATGCAGCTGAGAGAAGGATGAGGGTAAATATTCCAGTATTCCAGCTGAGTCATCTTTGCTTCTTCCTGATTATCCCTTTCTATTCATGATTAATGCCCATGGAAATATTTTTAGACATTGTTTGCTCTTTTCCTTTTTCTCAATAGAAATTATATGTAGAGTGTTTTACCTTAAGAATTAGATTAAAAGAACATATTTAAGCAAGTAAGACAAGAACTGGAAATCAGAAAAGCAGATTTGTAGGTTTTCATTCAATATTGATGCATTTTACATGTACTCTTGTCCTGTATCAGGCTGAGTCTTTTTCTCTGCAGAAAATGAAAAGCATGTACTCATGTCAAGAGCGTAATTCATAGTTATTTTCAGCAGGTGCTTAAAAACATTTGTAAATTCCAGCTTATAACTGAGCAATTCACCCTCCACCCCCTATATGTAAATTTGTAACAGAGGATTCAGTAAGGGGTTTGAGTGTATAAACGATACCTTTATTTTCAGTGTGGAATTCCCATTGAGAGGCCAGGCCTAAAAATACCAAATGTTTCCACAAACAATTCCTGCACACTGCATGTTGAGCAATACAGCTACAACCAAGGGGAGAGCTTCTGCTGACAGTTGAATGCAGGAGTCCAAACTGAGTTAGGTTATATATAGTTTTTATTACTGGTCATAAGCTCTTACCAGAAATCCAGATGTGCTTGAATCATGCAACAGATTAATGACACAAAATGACTGTGGGTGCAGGATGAAGGCTCCTTTTGTTTACCAGAGAGGATACTGTAACTTCCAGTTAATGACTTCAAACTATCTTACAGAACACAAAGGAACAAGTTAAGGCACGTAAACAGAAGTTGCCAGACTTCTTATCAAGGTAATGAAATGGTATTGAAATGTGTGACTTGATTTAAAAAAATAGTTTTGTATTAGTGCTGCCCTTTTCTAATGGAGTGTTTTGGTAAATATTTAAAAAGAAAACCCCCCAAAAAACCTACCTCAAAACATTCTCAGTAAGTAAAAGGGAAATTCAAAAGGGAAAAAACCAAAGGGAGTAGAGGAACTTTACAGGGCAGACAATGTGTCTTCTAAAATAGTAGAAAATCTTGTATAAGGGAACCCAAAATGCTTTGGTTTTGGGATGTTTAAACATAGCATATTTTTGAGTGGTTGCTAATTTGAAGTTTTAAGTTCTGCATGGAAGTTAGTAGACTTATGAGTCTGGGTGTTTCTCAGTGCTCATGTCCAGTAGGCAAATAAGCATGTTTGTGCAACATCAGAATCCTTAATTTTTCTTTTTCCTGCTCCTGCCATACACTATGTTCCCTGGGGAAAATCCTGGTTCAGTGATTGTGGAATTTCATGTCAAAGTACACCCTCTCTCGATTAAATCCCTGCAGAACCAGGTGAGTGATATAGGGAACCTGTTTGTTGTGGCTGCATGCAGCAGGTACAAGCTGCTCAGGCTTTACTCGCATTTACTTATTTATTTGGCAAAGAAGTCGATTAGGGTCAGACTGTCACTCGATTGATTTCTCCAGTACCTCTGTAAGAATGGTTTAAAGTACAATATGTAATTGGAAGCAATGTGGAAGAGGTCAGCAGCCCTTTTGGGGTTTTGTCTTAATTTTTGCCACAGCTGATACAGTTTCAGCCCTGAAAGAGAACAAAAGATCCTTGTAGACCTGTCAGCACTGCCCTTTGGCACTCAGGTCAGTCACTGTGTCACAGAGTCAGCTCAGGACTGTGTTTTCTTCTCCAACAAATCCGCTTTAAAACTAGCATTGGGCACTACTTACACCAGTAGCTGTTTTAGCCCAACATGTCCCCATGAATAGCTATATTTTTCAGCCTGTATTTAAAGTCTAAGCAGTTAATAATGGTTGAACTCTTCCTAAGCTTATTTTCAGGATTCTTTTTGGGAGAGTATTTTAATTATTGTCATAGACTATGATGTGCTGCATATTTCCTCTGTGTTGTGAAGCTTTCACATAGTGACTTTTTGCTTGCCTTAACTTGTGTAGAAATCCACCTTTGAGAAAAGGGTAACATTTGCACCAAATTCTCTACTTCCTTTGGAAACACAGAAAAAGGAAAATATGTTTCCTGTTAGTGACTGTTTTAATTTGTATTTCTGTTTGCATGAGACTATATCCCAAATGTACAGAGGAATTTTTCAGGGTGCTGTTAACCTGAGAACTTTCAGGCTATTTTTTAATTTTTTATTCCTGGCAGGAGGATTACATTCACTGTTTCTCCAATTTTGAATCTGATTTCTAAACATTATGGAAATTGTAATGTAGTCATCTCTATGAAATGTCATATTATGAACAATTCCTGGGTGTTTTTGGGTTGGTTTTTTTTTTTTTTAACCAGTGGCTTGTCTAGGCTAGGTATAACTGGGGCTGTTCAGCCAGAGGCACTGGCGGCTGTGTTGGGCATGGTCAGGTACCCTTTAGTCTTTGATCACTGTAGTTCTTAATGGTACTGTAATGGTATGGGCGAAATCCTGATAAAACTTCCTAAAATAGCCAAACATTTGTGCATGGTTTGTTGTGGGTTTTTGTTTGTTTGTTTGGGTTTTTTGGGGGGGATGGTTTGCGTTGCTTTGGGTTTATTTTAGAGATAGTAAGTATGCTGGTGAGCATTTCATTGTTCCTAAGGCAAGCACAGTATTGATACAGAAGTGTTTTCTCTGGGGACATCAGAATTGAGTCTGTTTTTTCTGTATGCATACTTAATCCTTCTAGGCTTGTAATATTCTCTGGAATTCCCAGTTTTCTGCAAACAGCTTTATTATTAGATATATGTTTTCTGAAGTCTCCGTTTAGGTTACCTTCAATATCCTGATGATGCTGAGCTCACACCTAGCAGCCAGACAGCCCAGGTCAGATATATATACATATGGGGGGTAAAGGAGAAGTGGACAGGGAACAGGGGTAGAACAAGGGGTTGTGGAGGAATCAGAACTGTGTAATTTACTTACCTCTATGGGAAATGTCTACATCGAGTTAAGAAAGAAATTTTCTTAGATGTTTCCTCAAACTTTTTTTATTCTGTTTGCCTGAAGTGAAAATAGAGATAAGACATTACAACACGCTGTGGTGGAGTTTCTCATAGGAGTATAGATTTTCCTGTTCCAGAGAAGATTGTTTTTTAAATTACTAATATGCTCTGAAAATATGTAGAAGAAAAGGTAAGAATGAGGATAGATGGTTGGTGCAAAAACACCCAACAAAATTAGATCCAGATGGAGGAAGTGGGATCTATGTTTTTGAGCTGTGCAAAGGCTGTCCCACATTTATTCCCCTTTCCCATTATTTTCAGCACAATGTGAGGAACTCTATGCTATATTTATGTATTGGAACTGAGAGTAAGAAGGTAGTAATGAGTCTGTTGTCAGCATGTTGTGCTTTCTTTAATTTACAGCATCATCACTGTGCTGTGCTGCCATAAAGGAGAGAATATAGCCTTTGTCCCCGCTCGGCACTAGCGGAACCGAGAGCGATGCACGCAGTTGGCAAGGGCTGCAACAACAGAGTCCCCATTCATCGCTGCCCTCAGAGCAGTTTGGTTTAGCTGTGTTACGTAAGCCATTTGTGGTATAACTCAGGACATTGCACAGAATAATATTGGGCATGGATATCCAGCTGTTGTGCGAGATATTGAGAAGGGAATAAAGGTACCCTATTGCGGTCGGGGGCTGGGGCACGCCTTCAGCAGCTCATTGAATTGAGGTATTGCGACCCATTCCCTCAGCAACCATCACATGACAAGTGCTAGAAGCAGTATTGAGCTACTGCACTAGACATCCTTCTTGTACAAAAATTACTCAGTTTTACCCTTTGTGAACCTAATGCCAATCAATGTGATTTTTGACCAGACTGGTAAGGGAAAGCTTTTTCTGAAAATACTGTGTGGTTACCAACCTTATGCTGTAGGAACTATAAAACAGATAATATATTTGTCATTGACTCTGAGAAGTTACTGCCATTAGCTATTGGGCTTCCTGAAGGTAAATCCACCTGACTTTTGTAGTTAGTATTCCGCCCAAGATTGTGCAAAATAATATTATTAAGTAGAATGTTTTGGCTTATCATGGAAAGAAGGAAAAGAGCTGCTGAAATATATCAGAAGTTGGCAATGGTGAAAATACTGCCTTGCTATCCTGAACATTATCTGATGAAGTAAGATGCTGCATAAAATTCTCCTCAATTAAAGTAATGGGTCTCGGTGTTTTCTTTTGGAGGGCTAAATAAGTGAAATCAGACGTTTCCCAGAGTCACGGATTGTCTTTGCCTTTGTTTTGTCTGCCCTGTGCCAGGGAGGCACTGGACATTGCCTGCTTGGCAAAAAGTCTTGCTTTTCCGGGCATTTGATATCACTACTCCTCAGTGTGACCTTGCAAAGTGACTAGAGATGCTGGAGGAACTTCAGGCAAAAGCTAGTTTTGTTTCAGCCAGGTGGTGGTTTAAGTCCTTGATTACTGAGTTAGCACAAACAAAAAATGTGAAGCATCAACCAAATTACACAGACACTGTTGCTATATGTTCTATTCAACCTGTTTCTCTATGATTTTGGCCAAGGTGTGTTATAGCTACAAAAATCTGAGAATCTGGCTCTGTACAGGTGCCTGTTGCCTTTATAATCTCCCTTTCTAAGGAGAAATATTACCTAGAGTTAAAGAAATAAAATTTCAGATCATGTTTCTGTTGATTTTTTTTTAAGCTCCTTTTTTCCTGTTTTGTTTTCAGTTATGTGGCAACCAAGATGCTGATCCTATCATATCCTTAAATCTTATTTGTGAACAGGTCTTGATGCTGAAGAGCATCCTTAAAATTCCTGTGTTTTACCTTATAATAATTCACTTATATCATGCACTAGAAGCACTTTATTGTATCAGGTAGCACTTTGTTTTCTAGAGCAGTAACACTTTATTGTGATTATGTATGACATTAACATGACATATTACTTTTACTTGGGGACAAAACCTGATGCATTAAATCCATGACAGACTTGGGCTTGTAGGGTGATACTTCTGAATAGTCTTGGGCTACTAGCCTGTTCTACAGTTAGTAATTTTTGGGGGCTCTAGCCATCACAGTGATGAATTACTGAAAACAACTGGAGAGTCTATTGTAACTACAAAATTTGGTATTCATAAATATATATGGGCAGGAAGTGCTGATAAAAATTCCAAGTAATTTTTCATGGTTTGGGGGCCTTCTTTAACTGGGCTGTAAAATGGAAAATAACCAGTTGAATCATTTTATTAGAAGGCAGCATCCATTCTTTATGTGTATAACCACATCATCTGTAGTCGGACCATGCAAAAAAAAATTTTGTTTTGGTTTGGTTTTTTTAGGTTTTTTTTTTTAATGCATTTGAAATTAAATTGAATTTAAAGAATGTATAAATGTAAAGTTAGGGAATATTCCAGTTCTGGAACAAAACCAAGTGTTCTGTGTCTGTTGACATTTACCTATTTTTTAAATAGAATAATTAAGTGAGAATAGCTCCTAGCTGTGCTTAGCTAGGGTTTGAGTGTACAAATGCTCTCCGTGTCTTATTTGGGTTCCTAAGGAGGCAATGCACAAGTATCATTTAAGTATTTATTGGGTTTCAGGCTGAATGTTTTCTCTCTAGTTGTTTTGCAAGCACCTAAAATTACTGTAACTGAGAGAAGGGGAAAAAAAGTATAGTTTTTGCTTTTGCTAACAATATGTATGTAATCAGCACCTCCTGGTTAATGAATTAGCTGGCTGTTTCTTTCATATAGCAATAGCAGGGAAAACTGCTGGGATAATCAGCAAGTGTTGGCAGAGGGATTCAGCAATGTATGTATCAGTTAATATTTCCTTTAAATAGTTTTCAAGTAAACTAGATCAAAATTTTGAATGGGCCCCCTATGTGTCTAAATATTTTTCAGGAGCTGAGGTGAATAAAATATTATAAACATGAAGTATTTAATTACTTTCTTAAACCTTAAAGAAGCACACAGAATGGTTTTATTCCCCTTTCACAGTGCAATCACAGTTTGCAGAATAAACTCCTAATTTTGAATTTAAAACGTTGAACATAATTGAAGGTTTTGCTTGCGTTTTTTTGTAACCCGAAAAGGCCTCCTTATAATGTCAATATAAATAGCTTTTTCTTCTTAAATGGTGATAAAAATATGCTCTTTCTACATATATCCTTTGCAGTTGCAATGTATTAAATACCTTAGGCTCAACCTTGTGTGGGGCCATCCCATTCAAGTGTTAAGAACTAGATGCATCAGTAGAGAGCAAATTGACCTTTGGTGATGGCTACCAAACCTGTGCCCTCATCAGTGTCATGTTCCAGCACCCAGACTTCTCTTTAAACATTGTCTCTTACCAAGTGGACTGACAAACAAGCCAGAGTGGCACAGGGCCATTCCCAGAGAAGAAAAGAGGGCAGTGCATGGATGACCACCAAGTGATGGCCATGTCTTCCTCACAGTGAGAGCAGCAGCAGGTCAGAGCACTGTGGTTGAGAGGAGGCTCTGCCTTCAGCCTCACTCCAGTGCCTGTCTCCCCTGCCCCGTCACGTTCTTCAGCACAGATCTGCTTCTGACTAACTCCACACTTTAGGAGTGAAGCACTGGTGAGGAAGGGAGCCAGACAGCTCCTAGGACAGGCTGGAATTTAGTACTGCAAGGGGAACAGCCCTCTGGAGGGAGTGTTTGTAGGGGATGTTTGACATCAGCTTCCTCTTGTTATCTGCACTTAGACAGATACTTCTGCTGATGATGGGGATTTGGGGGCTTTTTGAGGGTATTCTTTGGTTGTTCTTTTTTTTTTTCTTGTTTCATTTTGTTTTGTTTTGTTCCTTTTGTTTTGGTGTATTTAACAGAACCAACAGTATCTTTTTATTTGAAAGAAAAATGCTGCAAGCTTAAGATAAGATTCTTCCATCTTGGCTATAAGAAAACAGTAAGCCAAACAGACAGCTTGGAATGGGTGTGTTTTCCCAATTAGTGAGCCTCATTGCTAGCACAGGGGTTTAGTAGAGCTCATTATTTGCTGTGCATGAATGTAAGGTACAGATTCCTTGCTCACTGATGGTAGCTGCCACCCAGGGACACCATGCTGGAGAATAAGGATTTTTTTTTGGGCTTGCACCCAAGGCAGGTGCCATGCTGGGAGGCTGATCCCTGTCCAAGCAGGGAGGCAGGCTTCATGAAGAGCAGAAGGCTTTGCTGACTGTGTCTCTTGGGAGGATCCAAGACCTCTGTTGCTTCTTGTGTGAAGGTAATTCAAATAATTTTAGCCTGGCCTTGGGGATCGCTGTGCCACTTTCTGCTGGGCGGTAGTGACCAGGTCTCAGTGTGTTCTGGTGGTCTGGTGTGATCACTTTACTTCTCTGCTTTATTGGTGAGCCAGTGAAAGCTCATTATTTTCTGTTTAACAAGCCTGCTGTCCTTCTGTAAGAGGTTTGGTAGCAATATGGTAAATTACAACAGTATTTTTGTCAAATGTCCAGCAAAAATAAGGTTCTGGGAGGACTTGGAACTGTGGGAAGGTGTTTTGCAAATGTCATTTTCTAGTACATTACAACATGAGGAAACCATGGTATGTATTTTGCATTAAGAAATAAGACTAATTTAGGCTATGAATAATTGTAGAAGTTGGGATCACCAAGATAAAAAAAAAAAGGTCCACACAAATGACTTAAAATTTTTGCGTCTGACTGTGTTTGTACTTTTCTCATGTCTAAAGACTGCCAAATTCTAGATGCTGTCTTTCCTGGGAACTAACCAATGCTCTCTGGCATGATTTTCACTTCCCCTTATGTCTATATTTGAAAAAGCATATGTGTAGTCCCTAAATGAATATAGTGGTTAACAAGCTATGGATGACAACCCACAAAACATATTTGCTAAAGCAAGTTTCATACTGCTTAATGGAAAACAAATACCAGAACAACAAACCAGGGATATTGCTATACATGCATATATTTCACATGTGAGAAAAGGTGAAGGAAAAAATCCCCTTGTGAGTTTTTCTTGGGCCTGCTTCTTCCCCACTGGAGTTAAATTACTGTAACTCTGGGAGCAGAACTTGGTTCTTCAGTACATATTTATGTTTTCCATGGTAGGGCAGGACATGCTATATAGCAAAAATGACTAGTTACTGTCATTAGATGAGTAATAGCTTCATCCTTCCTAGCTCCTAAGGAAGGAATCATCCTTTACATCCGAAGGAAGTAGGGCCAGCAGCATCCTGCTAAAGCAGCACTGTTAAGTCATTCTCTAGTAAACAGTGTCTCTGTTGTTCCTAAAAGAAAAGAGGCCATGCAGAATTTTCAAGCCTTCAAGACATGTGTCTTGTGTGCAAGTGATGGGATGTATGTGATGCTGGAGAGGCTTGGGGAAGGACTGCAGTGTGTGGGGAAAACCCCTCCTTGCAGGTAGTGAGTGCATCATCCCTGGCTGAGGGGTCACCTTGGGGGCAGGAGGGGAATGGACTGTGGCTGGGATAGAGCAGATCTTTCTGCATTTTTCAGCAGCAGATTGCCACAGGTGCATGGAGCTCTTGCTGCCCAACCCACTGAATTTGGAAGCTCATTCAGGTAGTAACTGCTGGCTTGAACACAACATGAAATTAGAGGTTTTATTACAAAACACTAAAGCTTAGTAGTGTTCTTACCCTTGGATGCTCAGTCTCCAGCCAGAGCTTCCTGAAGCTGACTTATTTTATTAGATTTTATTTTAATTTAAAAGTAACTTAAAATGTATTTACTTGCCTTCTTTCATCTGGTGACTCACATTAGTTTCTTCACATGACTTCTCTGCTGAGGTTAGGAACCTAAGAAGTAAAACTGAGATTTCTGTAGCTTTCTGCTTCCTCTATCAAATCCCTTAAGAAATTATCAAACACTGGCAAGGTTTATGATGTCATTAGAGTCTTTTATAACTGCCTAATGCTCCAAGTAGAAGAAACTTGGTTATAACATGTTGTGTAACCAAGCACACTGGTCTTCAAAAACAGAATTTAAAGCCCATTTTTTTCAATTACCTTTCAGGTGCCTGTATTAATACAGTAAGTTCTGGTGGAATCAGTGAAAGTTGTTGAATGGGCAGCACTTTCTGTCATGTGAACCATGGCTTTGTTTTGTTTTTCTTTTTTTCTTAATTTTGGTCCTCACTTTCCAAATAGCTTGCTGATACTACTGAATTTGGTTTTTAGGAAAAAGGAGGTAACTTCCATATTAGTTACCTGGTTTTGGTAAAGCAGCTGTTCTAGAATGTCCACTCTTCTGACAGGGTTTAGTCCATGAAACATTTAAGAAAACAGCCTTGCACATGCATGCCCATCTAAGTTTTTTTTAGTTAACTGCTGTGGGAAACAGTGGTTTTCTGATGAACTTTATACAAACCAGGAAGTGGCCTTTCTCATTTGCTGTAGGTGAACTTGCTGTAGTGGGGGGGTTGGACTAGTCCCTTCCAACCCCAACCATTCTGTGATTTCTAAATGAGTTGAGGAGTGGCTGCTGTGTACTTTCCAAATGAGTGCAGCGTGACATCTGTGGCCCACATGAACCTCACTCAGGCCAGCTGTTGGTACCCTGTCAGTGAAGCCAGATCTGCCATGCCCTTGCATCAGGCTTTGGCTTCTTCAGCAAAAAAGGAGGGTGAGTAGAAGTGTAAAATAAACTTCTTTTTATTTTCCTTGAAGTTCAGAGAGAATGTGTGTGTGTTTGAGATATATATATGTGTGTGTGTATATATATACATATATATATATATATATACACATATATATATATAAAGAGAGAAACAAAACCCAGTGTTCCAACAATCCCCTGCACATGCAGGGGAAAAATATGCTTTTCAGATAAGCACCCTTAGTCCTGGCTATACCACATATGTGTCTGCCCAGTAATGGTTCTGATAAATTTTTTGTTAAAAGCAGTTAAAGCAGTTACATTTTTGTTAAAAGGAGTTAAACTCAAGAGTTGCTTTGCATGAGATGTGACTCCGGAACAAGTTGCTGAATATTAGTTGTGCATGTGCTGTGGACAAGGCTGTGCTAAGGCTAGCATGTGTTAGTAATATCAGTACTGTTGTTACCGAGGTGTTCTGCTCTGCCTGGATTGTTTTCTCAGAGAGCTTCAGTTCTTAACATAGCGCCAATTTCTGTGTTGTGGTGAAAAGAAAAGCCAGAGGAGCATGTATGTGTGGTAGCTGAGATCTTCACCCAGACTGCAGTCCTGTCGATTTTCACCAAAGTGCCTCAATCTAGAATGTTTTTAATGTGATCTTTGACATAGGGTAATGGCTTTAAACTGACAG